GGGTATATCTAGTTTAATGACTAGGGGTGAGATGATAGCAATGTTCCAATATCTAAGGGGCTGCAACAAAGAAGAGGGGGTCAACTATTCTCCAAAGCACCTGAAGGTAGGACAAGAAACAATGAATGGAAACTAATCAAGGAGAGAAGCAAGCAAGAACTAAGGAGAAATGTCCTGACATAAAAGTTAATCAGTGGAACACCTTGCCTCCAGAAGTTGTGAATGCTCCAACACTGGAAGTTTTTAAGACAAGTTTGGACAACTATTTGTCTGAAATGATATAGTTTTTCCTGCTTGAGCAGGGATTGTTCTAGAAGACCTCCAAATTCCCTTCCAACTCTGTTATTCTGTATTCTGTTCTGATTAATCTTTTTACCTTAATTTTTTAAAAACAGTTTATGCCTCCTCTGCTCTTCATATCTTGCCTTGCCTTTAGGTTTATCCTTGGTTTTTTCCCTTGCCAAATAAATTTGGAAATTATCTTGTTCAGTTCCACAAAGTAATTTTTATGTATTTTTATTGGTATTGTTTGGAATAAGTAAATAAATTTGGGCAGAATGTTCATTTTTATAGTGGCAATCCTCCCTAATAAGGACATTTGCAATTTAACCCATGTCTCTAAATGTTTTTTGACTTGCTGTAATCATTATAATTATTTTCCATTAGAGTTTTGCATTGAGCCATCAACCAAATTCCTAAGTATTTAACTTTTTTTACTATTTGTAATCCCATTATCCTTTCCAATTTTAATTTTAGTTTTTCTGTTAAATTTTTAGTTATTAATTTCATTTTTTCCCTATTGATTTTATGTCTTGCAACTTTCCCAAATTGATCTAACACTTCCAAGAGTTCTTGACCTGTTTCAATTGGTTCTCTATGAAAAAAACCATATCATCCACAAATGACTGGAGTTTATATTCTTCATTCTTAATTTTTAGTCCTTTTATTCCTGGCTTCTGTCTAATTCGTGTAAGCAATGTTTCCAACAATAATATGAAGAGCAGGGGAGATAGTGGACATCCCTGCCTAACTCCTTTCTCTATTTTTATTGAGCACATATACGCTCCATTAATTATAATATTCACCTTTTGTGAATCATAAATTGTGGTCACAGTGTTTTCAAATTTAGTGCCTAGATTCATATTGTAAATTTGTTAGATTAGGAATTGCCAATTTAGATTATCAAAAGCCTTCTGTGCAACCAAGAATACAAGAGCTATTTGTTTTTCTGGGTGGGCTTCGTAGTATTCCAAAACACTTAGTACTATTCTTAAATTATTCCTGATTTGTCTATTGGGAAGAAATCCGTTTTGATCTTTATGTATATATTCAGTCAATATTTTTTTTAATCTATTTGCTATAATTGTGGTAAATATTTTATAATCAGTATTTAACAGGTAAATTGGTCTATAATTTTGTATAAGTCTTAAGTCTGAATCTTCTTTCGGGATCAACGATATCAGGGTCTCCTTCCATGAATCCAGCATTCTTGCTGCAAGTATACTTCCACCATGAGAGGTCCTATTTGTTCTCCTATTTATCCCATCAGGTCCTGGGGTTTTATTGTTCTTTTGGTTTTCTATTGCTATTTTTAACTCGGGCCACATAATGTCTCTAATTAACATTTCCTTCATCTCCTCCTTGATTATTTTATCTTTAGCAGTACCCAAATAGTTTCTTATCGTGTCCTCATTTACCTCCTTCTTTTTATAAAGATCTTCAAAGAATTTACATACAATTTCTTTTTTCTGTTCTATTATTTGTTGGACATCCCCGTTTTCATCTATTAATTGGTAGATCAATCTTTTTTGTTTTTCTTTTTAAGTTTGTAGGCCAACCACCTTCCTGGTTTATTGGCCTGTTCAAAGAATATCTGTCTAGCTGTATTCAACTTTAAAACCATTCCTTCTTGTTCAATTAAGTTTAATTTATGTTTAGTTATTATCATCTTTTGGGGTATTTTGTAGCTGAATTTCTATTTCTTTGATTCTTTGTTCTAATTTATTTTGTTGGGCATATTTTTCTTTATTTCTTTTAGTGGTGTAAGATATCATTGTGCCTCTTATTATTGCCTTCATTGTATCCCAAATATTCTGCTTCATAGTTGCCTCATTGTTATTTTCTTTTAAGAAATAATCTAATTCCTCCTTAAGTCTGTTCATAAATTCTTTCTCTTTAATTAGCTGTGTATTTAGGGTCCACCTTTTCCTTGGTTTCTTCCTACCTTTCCACACTATCTGAATCGAATTGTGATCTGCCCATTCGTTCGGAAAAATTTCAATCTCTTTTAATCCATTTGCTAACTCACTATTCATCCACACCATATCAATTCGTGCCTATGATTGGTGAGGATTAGAGTAAAATGTAAATTGCTTTTTCTCAGGGTTTAATTTCCTCCACATGTCTATCAGATTTAGTTAAATCATCATTTCCTCACATGTTTTCAGTAGTTCTTTTTTTCTTCTTTTTCCCCCCGCTACTTCTCTTTTTTTGTGCTATAACCAAATATAAACTTAAATATTTACTAATGTATCAATTAAATCATATATAAATTACGTTTACCACATTCAAAAGTCAGTTGAGTTGGTGTCAAGAAATAATTATTGCAATCCGCAAAGTTTAAAGGCTTAAAGTGTTTTAATGTAATTGTTCAGTTCTTCGAAGTTCCTTCACCGAGCATGCTGGAAGCACAGACTTTCCGAGTAATGTCTCTGGTTTCACCGTCTCACCGCACTTTCTGCTGTAGCTGTTTCTCCTTTTGTTTAAAAGTCTTGCAAGACAATCTTTAAATTCATATAGTCTCTTTCTTGAATAAATCTTCTCCACTTACTATAGCTCCAGTCCAATAATCCAAAAAGAGACCAGTAAATTATTCAGTTTCATCTGTGGAATATTTAAAGTTGTAATAAGACTATTTAATTCCTTACTTCAAATCTCCCCCAATCTCAATTTCGTCCTTTCAATTTTCCCCAAAATCCACAATTCAAATCTTTCAAAGTTCCCTTAAATTACATTTGTTGTTCTTTTTCTTTTCTTTTTTTCTCCCCCAATTATTGTCAGTCACTCAGGTCCCTCCGATTCTCTTATCTTCTCTATTCGATCACTCGCGTCCTTACCCTCTTCCGTCTCATGAGCCCTTTCGCTTTCATTGCCGCTCGTATCTGCTTTGGGCGCTGTTTTCGGGCTTCGCTCCGACTAAGATTCTTCAATATTCAACACTCAATCAGGATCGCAAATTCTTTCACTTGCACTCTTCGTTCACCACAGTCTGTTACTCACTCGCTTCCTCTTGTATGCAATGATCAAGACTTTAGGAACGCCATTACTGACAGTCTCTTGATGTCGGTCTCCACAGGGTCTCTCTGCGTCGCGATGAGAATCGCCTTTTCCACACTGCGACTTGAGTCTCCCCACACTGGCATGCTTCTCTACAAGATGCATGCACCCCTAAGGGTCACTCCAACAGCAAGAGGAGATAGCATGAAATCCAGAGCGAGCTTCAGTACCTCTGTTCGTTCATATCTCGTCACGGGAAGTTTTGGGGAATTATACTATAATGCAGCTGCCTTACTTTGGTTGAAAGAGTGGGTAAACCTGTTGAATGAAAGAATCTTATTTCTAGAAGGCCATGATTTACAGAGGGGGGTGGCATGCATTTTTATGGGACACTGGAAAAATTAAACAGAATTATTTCCACAGACATAAAATTAGAGAATCCTTATTGGTTAATTGGAATAAAATAAAATAAAAACATTATTTAAAAATCACAATCTGGATCTCAACGATGGAGGCGATGATACATCCAAATAATCTAGATCTTAATAAAATGATAAAATACAAAGACCTTGATGCACAAGGAACTTTAAAATCATGGCAAGATCTTCAAGAACAAGGGCTACAAGTAGACCAGTGGGCTTACCTGCAAATTCAAAATAGATATAGCCAGGACAAGAAAAATTTTGGAATTTATGCTAAGGCACAACAATTAGATAAAATCCTATTAGGCCCAGATTAAAAAAAATAACTAAATTTTATAATTATTTATTAGAGATAGAATTAGAAGAGGAAGTAGTTAAAGGCAACATGATAGCTTGGAGTAGAAACATAGGACGTAGCATCACATTATTAGAATGGGAAAAGGTCTGGACAAGGAATAATAAAATTACAAAATCAGCAACATATAAAGAAAATGCCTATAAAATGTTTTATAGATGGCATTTCTCGCCCTCGAGAATAGCGAAAATGTCTCCTAACATGAATCCAAATTGCTGGAAATGTAAAAAGAAACACGGAACATTCTTTCACATGTGGTGCTCCTGCACTGAAGCCCAAAGATACTGGCACAGAATAAAAAAATGGTTAGAGGAAATAATGGTGGAGCGAATTGAATTAAAACCAGAATTATTCTTCTTATTTAATAGACAAATTTCTAAAACAGTCAAATATATAATACTGCACATTCTTACTGCAGCTAGAATAACCTTTGCACAGTGTTGGAAACAAGTAGATATTCCAACAGAGGAAATGGTCATTCAGAAAATAACAGCCTGTGCAGAGATGGATAAGTTAACCTTAGCACTTAAGGAAAAAGAAACATCAGAATATTATAGAGCTGGGAATGCTGGTATGACTGGATAGAACAAAAATAGAAAATATATTAGTAAACAACGTAAAATGTAAAAGAGGTAGTAATCATATACTCGCAATAAGATGTATTTGTAAATATGTCACCAATATTGATAACAAACAAGGAACCATAGACTGTCGATAATAGAATTGCTAGGGTTTTTTTAATCTTTTTTTTTCTTTCTGTGTGTTGTGTATGTGTTTGTTTGACATTTTAGTTGTATAATCAATAAAATTTGTTTTTTTAAAAAAAAAAATTAAAAAACAATTTTAGACAATATTTTTAAAGTATCTGATATTAAAATAGTTATCTAGCTCTGCAGATGATCTATCTATCTATATTTATTAAGGGTATGTGTATCTGTTTTTGTTAGATTTGCAGTGGCTCTGGAATGGTAGATCTACGAACAGGAGCTGGTGTGATTGATACAGGCCGAACAGCTCTTGACAACAAAACTTCATTAATTAACACTATGCCTCCTCATTCCTCCCCACGGTCACGTGATTATAATCCATACAATTATTCTGATAGTGTTGGTTCTTTTAATAAATCAGCTTTAAAAGAGGCTATGTTTGATGATGATGCGGATCAGTTTCCTGATGGTAAGTCTGTCACAAACAAAATTGGGGAATGGCTATATTGGGAGGAAAAATACAGTCAAATGTAAATAGAATTATCTGAACTAAGGGAAATAAGTTATGATACATAGCAGGAAAATACGATATTCAAGAGCTTTATTGAAAACAAAGTTTTATTTATTATAAAAACTAAATGTTATAACATCTGATATGCATCTCTTAACATTTCAATGCCAGATTTGTTCCCAAATAAGACACTTTATAAAGATAATAAACAAAAAAAATTGTACTAGTAGAACTTAATGGAATATATACTTAAGAAAAAAGCTTCTTCCAGTAAAAGACATTTGAATGTTCTTATTTTATTTTCCAAAATGAAATTTAATTCAAAAATACAGTGAAGATTTATTAAATAATAAAAAGTAAATCTCATCAATTCCTATTCAAAGAGTATAAAGGATATTATGGCTTTAGAAATAAATAGCTACCTGAATAATGTTAATTTCCAGTCCCTCTCAATACATGTTTTGCATAATCATTTTTTTATTTAGGTAAAGTTTATATAGACAAAATGTGTATGGCCAAGTAAGCAATCTAATATACTGTATGTTATTAGAGTATTGATTAAAATAATATAGTATAATAGGAATAAAATTCTAATGATACTTTGTCAATGCAGCCTAGGAAGACAACAGGGCATATTTTTAGTGTTTTTTAAGATGTATTTTAAGATAAAGACAAAAAAGGTTCTTAAACTGAGGTGATTATCCTCAAGGGGTAATTTGGGCAAATTTTCAGTTTGGGCTTGTTTGTGACTTGCAGATCCTGTTTGGGATTGCCACTGCTAAGGTGCTTGTATAAAATAGTCTGATATTTTTGTGGATGTAATAACATTTTAGATATGGAAAAGATAAATAGGATAAAAAAAATTGAGAAGATCAAATGTGAGATCAAATTCTGGGACACAGATACGTGTCTCCATCTGTAAGAATGAATAGCCTAAGCCTTCCATAGCTAACGATATTAAGGTGATCATTGCAGAAAGTTCAACTTTTCTCCCCATTGATTTAAGCCCATTAATTTGGGCTTAAAGAGTGTCTTCATTATTAGCAATTGGGAGAGAGAGAGAGAGAGAGAGAGAGAGAGAGATGGTCCTCTTACTGTAGTCGTTTTTGCTTTTTTTTCTCAAAAAGTCTTGACTCCTTGTCCATAATAGGAAATTTTAATGAAAAATGACATATTTTGTAAAAAAACATATCAGGGTTAAGTTCCATCTGTTGTTTTTTGTCTATTGTTTCATAAATATTATATACCTTCACATATAAAGTAAAAAAAGAATGGTTACTTTTTTTCCTAATTAAATAATTTTACTTTTTCTTTTGTTACAGAACCTTCCCTGGACCATTCTGATCGAGTTGCAGAATTGCTAAAGGAATTATCAAACCATAACGAGAGAGCTGAAGAACGGAAAGCTGCTCTTTATGAGCTAATGAAATTGACTCAGGAGGAGTCCTTTGGTGTTTGGGATGAGCACTTCAAAACAATTCTTCTTTTGTTACTTGAAACTCTTGGAGACAAAGAGGTAAGTCCCAAAATGGAGAAAGGAAAATCTTATAACAGCATGGATAATAAAGTTACTGATGTTATAGTTATTAAAAGTATAACTTGCCTTTATTTTTAGACAATTCAAAATAGCATACATAATGTTCTGTTATTCTCTTTTGGCCACAATAATAACATTGTAAGCTGAGTTGATCTGAAAGAAAATAACTACGCCAAAATCTTCCATCGGGCTTTCATAACTACAGGAGGATTAAAATTCAGTCTTTGTTTTCCAATCTAATACCTAATGTCCTTCTTGAATGTGTATGGAAATTCTTAGTCATACAGGTCATGGTTGTCCCAAAGATGCTTTTTCAAAGTTTTTTTGTTTCTCATTCAGAATTGAGGACGCTTCTTGAACGGGAAATGAAATGTCTTTAAGGAAAAACAATGGAAGTCCAGTTACCTTTTTAAAAAGCATCTTTAGGTCCCCCTTGAACTTACATCAGGATTATGAACTTTAAAAATAGTGCATATTCCTTTCTTATACCTGTACTCTTTAATACAGACAATAGAATACACTTTTCAGTATCTCGGTCCCATAAAAGTAAAGTGACTCTTAGTAAATGTATCACAATTACACCTTGCAGTTACAATAAGTTTATAGCAACTATTTTACTAAAATAATATGTAATGTAAAAATATTAAATAAATGTATACTATTCATTATCGAATATGGTTGTGAAGAAAAAACAATGCTTGGAATAAACTTTCAAAAACCTAATACTATATTGTTCCATTATCAATAATAATGAGTTAGAAGTTATATGAGCAAAACTAATATTCCTTAAACTTTCAGTATGCAATTAGAGCCCTGGCACTAAAAGTCCTAAGAGAAATTTTAAGACATCAACCAGCAAGATTTAGAAATTATGCAGAACTCACAATAATGAAGACTTTAGAAGCTCATAAGGACCCTCATAAGGAGGTTTGTATACAACTTTGTATTAAACTTAAGGATGTGTTGAAGTAATAATATTGTATTCTGTGAGGAAGATGAAGAATATAGGCTATGTTTTTCATAATACAGATTTCAGAAATTTAAATGAGAAAATCGTATTTCCTATTCAAAACTATTCAAATAATACAGATTTTTATGAACAGGGGACATAGAGATCCTTTAACATCTGCTTTACAAGATATGAATATCTTATAATCTTTGATCATGGACCTCCTTGCTAAACAAGATCTTTATCATTTTCCCAATAGCATAAAATTGTGTACAAATTTTAAATCCTTCTAGGAATATTATTGTCTGTTCTGTCAGTTTTATTATTAAACAATGTCAGTATATTCATTAGTTTTGTTTTTGAATGTTGAAAGGCAGTAAATGTAGCAATTAATTACATTTCCTCCCATGAATTCATTTTAATTGGAAATAATGGATTAAGATTTAGATGTATTAGAAATTTAAATATATACATATCTCATATTTTCTAGGATGATTTTTTTCATTTTAAAATTATTATAGTTACAAAGTCAATAAAAGTTGTTATAAAATATTTCCTAGATATATTAGTTCATTTTTCCAATATATCCAGAAAAAAATTCAAGTCACATTTTGTTTAAATATTGATACTATTGAAATGCTGTTGTGACAGAAATTTCTATTGTAAATCAAAATATATATTGACATTTAATAGTCTACATATTGTAGTACTATTAACAAATAAAACTATGCAAGTGTAATATTATTGGATTTCTATATTTTTCTTTTCTATTAGGTGGTAAGATCAGCTGAAGAGGCTGCTACTATGCTGGCCACATCTATTAGTCCAGATCAATGTATCAAAGTACTTTGTCCCATCATTCAAACAGCAGATTATCCTATAAATCTGGCTGCAATCAAAATGCAGACAAAAGTTATTGAAAGAGTACCTAAAGAAATTCTTGCTCAGCTTTTGCCAGAGATAGTTCCAGGTTTAATACAGGTAAGAAGATACAGAACAATGAAAAAAATGTTGCAAAACTATTTTTCCAAAGATTATTTGGTTTTTCAAGTTATCTTCTAACTTAATAGAATATTTTGCTGATTTTTTTTTCAAACATATTTTAGGATTATCAGTTTTATTTGGATTGATATGCATTTGAATTATTTCTTTTCTAGGGCTATGATAACTCTGAAAGCAGCGTTCGAAAGGCATGTGTCTTCTGCCTTGTAGCTATTCATGCAGTAATTGGTGATGAGCTGAAGCCACATCTTAGTCAACTCACTAGCAGCAAAGTAAGTGACATGCCATATGAAGATCTGATTTTGATTTTGATTTTTTCTAATCTGTGGGGATTTGAAAAAAGGTGTGGGATTTTAGGATCAGAAATTTGTTCAGAATCTCATTTTGGCTACTATTTGAATCTAGTACTCTTTTGACCCTTGTATTTTTCATGAATTATGTTAATATGTATGAAAAATGAAATGTTATAAATAGACCACAATATATAAATGAATATGGTTGTTGATACAGTCACTATAAGAACTTGAATAAAACATATAAATAGTTTAAAACTTTACAGCAAAATCATGGTACCTTCATGCAGTTTTATTATTTCAGACTGTAAATTGGAAAGCTGATAGTTCAATTCCTAATCCTGCATACAAAAGCATCTTATAGATATGTAAAAAAACCAAAATATCATAGTTTTATGTTGTAAGATTTGTCTGTTACATACTATTTTTCTTTCAGTGAATGATAGGCGTCAGTTATCCAGTTCTTCAACAATAGCTTGAATTGGGGAAATTACAATTCAAGCCAGTTGTCTTCAGTAATTTGGAGCTATGTGGAATGATAGACAACTTACTAAAACTGAGAATAATAAATTACAGTCAATGATTTAATCAGCATGCTTGAAATAAAAGTTGCTAAAATGTTATAAAGAAAATACAAGGCATGACAGCATCCACTGTTCTTATAGAATGAACATTGTGCTCATATATTTGCTGCCCTTTTTTCTCTTCAGTTATTAATTTTAGATTTAGAGAAAACAACTGCCATTATATCATAGATGAAATTTACCCTATAAAGCAAAATGAAACATAGTTAATTAACTAGAATGCAAAAAGGAGGCTTGGAGGCTCCGAAGCTATGGAGGAAGCATTTTTAGATGTGCGTGTGTGTACTGTAGCAGCACTATCCACAATTTTTTTACAGTTATTTCGTACCAACCCATGTGGCCCAGTACGGTGTTAAAAGTTAATATTTCAGAAATGTTAAGGTAGATAGAAATCTTTATTGACCAAATGTGATTGGACAAACAAGGAATTTGTCTTGGTGCATATGATCTCAGTGTACATAAAAGAAAAGATATATTCGTCAAGAGTCAAGAATCATAAGGTACAACACTTAATAGTAGTCAGGGTACCAATAAGCAATCAAATCATACTAGGAACAGTCAATATAAATCATAAGGATACAAGCGGCAAAGTTACAGTCATACAGTCACAAGTGGGAGGCGATGGGTGATAAGAAGTGATGAGAAGATTAACAGTAATAGTAGTGAAGACTTTGTAAATAGTTGAACAGTGTTGAGGTAATTATTTGTTTAGCAGAGTGATGGCTTTTGGGAAAAAACTGTTCTTGTGTCTAGTTGTTCTGGTGTGCAGTGCTCTATAGTGTCGTTTTGAGGATAGGAGTTGAAACAGTTTATGTCCAGGATGTGAGAGGTCTGTAAATATTTTCACAGCCCTCTTTTTGACTCATGCAGTATACAGATCCTCAATGGAAGGCAGGTTGGTAGTAATTGTTTTTTCTACAGTCCTAATTATCCTCTGAAGTCTCTGTCTGTCTTGTTGGGTTGCAGAACCAAACCAGACAGTTAAAGAGGTGCAGATGACTGACTCAATAATTCCACTGTAGAACTGTATCAGCAGCTCCTTGGGCAGTTTGAGCTTTCGGAGTTGGCGCAAAAAGAACATTCTTTGTTGTGCCTTTTTTGATGATGTTTTTGATGTTAGGTGTCCATTTTAGGTCTTGTGATATGATAGTACCTAGAAATTTGAAGGTCTTTATTGTTGATATTGTATTGTCTAGTATTGTGAGAGTTGGTAGTAAGGGAGGGTTTCTCCTAAAGACTACTACCATTTCTACGGTTTTGAGTATGTTCAGTTCCAGATTGTTCCAGTCACACCACAAGGCAAGTTGTACAACCTCCTATCTGTATGCGTATTCGTCAGTGTCTTGAATGAGACCAGTCACTATTGTATCATCTGCAAACTTTAGTATTTTAACAGATGGATCGTTTGAGATGCAGTCATTGGTATATGGGGAGAAGAGAAGTGGAGAAAGCACACAGCCTTGGGGGACCCCTGTGCTAATTGTACAGGTATCAGATTGATTCTGCCTAGCTTCACCTGCTGCTTCCTGTTTGTTAGGAAGCTTATGATCTACTTACAAGTGTGTTCAAGTACTGCTAGCAGGTTTAGTTTAGTTAGAATAATGTCTGGAATGATAGAATGATTAACTTTTAACACGGTACTCACAGGATATTCCCTCCCGCCATCACAGTTTAATTTTGCTTGAGATGCAGAAGAGGAAGAAATGTTGGAAGTGGGCAGGATGAGGAAAACTCCTTTCAGAAAGTGGTCTGCAGGTGGTGGTGGTGGGATTTTCCTGCTGATCATTTTTTGAAGGAGGAGCCCTGCATAGACACACATCCAGAAATGCTCTTTCCATGGCTTTGGAGCCTCCAGTCTTGCAATCCTGTGCAGGGAAGGCAGAGGTTTGCTCCAAAGCTGCAGCAGGGCATTGCACAAGGAGACCTCCGCAGGTATGGTAACATTTCTGAAATGTTAACTTTTAACACCATATTGGGCAATGTGGGTTGGGACGAAATAACCGTAAAAAAATTGTGGATAGTGCTATTACAGTATCCTTTGGGAAGCCAGCATGAGGCGGGTCACTTGGCCTCCTGCTGCTGAAGTGGCCATGTTTGCCAGAGGCAGTGGCCAGAGCGGCACCAGTGAGGCAGCTGTTCCATGGACAGAATTGCCTGCTGTGACTGTCACCATTAGGTAAGAAGGGCACGAGACATGGGCGTGTCGCTTGGCCTCCTGCTTTTGCAGCCACAATTGGTAGCAAAAGTGACTACACTTGCTGGAGGAGGTGGCCTGAGCTGCACCCATGAAGCAGCTGTTTTGTGGATGGTGGGATAGCCTGTGATGCTTTGAGGAGCTGGCGCAAGAGGCCGCTTGCTCTGCCCCCACCTAATATCGGTACATGCAGAGGGAATAAGACTTCCCCCAAAATAAGGCCTAGCACTTATTTCGGAGGACAAAAGAAAATAAGATCAGGTCTTATTTTCAGGGAAACACTGGTAATTTAGAACTGAAAGCATCTATCTTTATACTGTAAATGTAAAGATGAAAAAAGAACTGTTATCATGTCTGAACATTAATTAAGTTATATTGATCATTATATACAATAAACTACTGTGATGAGAATATTAATATGACAATTATTGCCAATAAGTTTATCCTCCCTTAATCTTCTTAATCCTTTGAAAATACAACAATTGTATGTTTTATAGCTCTAATTAGGTTTCTTTCCTCTGTATATATCATTCCATTACAAATCTTTTTCATTGTTCTTTTACTGTTCATTGTTCATTAACTGTTAGTTTAAAAATAAAAAAATGACTTATTTAATATGAAATATGTTGTAAGAACTAAACATATTATTTACTAATTTAAATCTGCAGATGAAATTGTTGAATCTTTATATCAAGCGTGCACAAACAGGATCTGGAACAGGTGATGCCTCAGCAGATGTTCCAGGACAAAGCTAGTAATCCTGAAATCCATCTTTTAACTAAGAGGAAAGACACATCATAAAAGGAAAATTCGCAAATGCATTTTTGGCGCTTTTCTCTCTCTCAATCTTTTTTCCCTTAATGAAGGGCTGCTTAGCCTGCATGTGACTGTTCCAGTAATTCCATATCTAAGGGGAAAGACAGTATTAATATCACTTGACTGAAGCAAATTATTTTTTTTTAACTAACACATCATGTTTTCTGTTTGCACTCCTCTGTGTGTCTTTCCACTAATTTTTTTTAATGTACTTTTAGAAACTAATTAAACAGGAATGCTTTCAAATTTAAATTTCCTCATTTTTACTCAACTGCAAAGTAACGTGGCTTTTCCTTCCTGGTTTTAATAATCAGATGCTTCTGCTTGGATGCACAAAGTGGGAAAACAGAGAATGATAGATTGAGCTCAGCCCCAACTAGACCAGTCTCATTACCAAAGAGACATCTTCATATCTTATCATAATGCCAACAGCAGCAGCAGAAAGCAGTGCTTGATTGATCAATCGTTGAATGTTTGTCATATAAACAAAAATTCAATGCAGATTAGGAGGACAACTCTGTCTTTCTATATGGAAATCTATATAGAATATAGTATGGCAAAACTGGATTGTATAGCATCCTACTTTCCTAGATCAGGGTAAGTAAAATCACTTAATGGATATGAACCTGTATCACCACCTTCAAGCAAGATGGTTTGGAATAGAATGCTTTGTATCATTTGTCAGTATAATACTTCCTCTCAACCTAATTATTGAAAGCAATACTTCTGTCAATCTCATTCACATAAAAATATATGACAGGACTGGAATAAATTGTTTCACAATGATATGTTGCAAGATTGGAGATTAGTGCACTGATTATTTTAAAGGCATGGGAATGGGAAAAACTCACAAGTATTACAGATTTTAAAATTATAGTTTGGAGTTTAATTTGAATCAGGAAATGGCCCTAAATTCATTGCATGGTTATCTTAAGATTATGTTGAACTGGTGTTATTGCAGCCATCTGGACTATAAGATATGGAAATGTTTTCAGGTTGTTTCTGTAATCGTTTAAAAAGTTTATTGTGAATAATGCATCCTTATATTTATGGACTGAATAGTCAAAGAGAGAATGAAACTAAAACTACTTCCATCAGACAAAAATACCAAGCTTCTTAGCTGGGGAATGAGAATAAAATCTGTACCCAGATGGAACCCACAATACTTGGAATAACTCATTGTTGAATTATCTTGTTTTAGGGATTGTGTATTTACAGGAGAGATTATAGCAATGCTAAGGATGATGGGTTTTTCTGCTAGATTAAGATTCTGACTACCTCTTCAGGGTAAATACTTTTGACTAAGCTGCTATCCATAACGTCTTGTGAAAAACATTGTCTATAAAATAATTACTTTTATTTTATTTTTCTTCTTTTGCTACTACCGTATATGTTCAGTATCTAATACCTTAATATGCAGCCAAATGCTGTTTTTAAAAGAACTAATATCACAATTTGCTTATTACTTTATAATAGAATACTTGCAGATATCTAATAAGTTACTTTGACTTTTATCAGAAATTATTCTGTCTGGAAAAGATAAAATGTAGTTACTGAAAATGCAATTTGCTATTGCAAAAAGCTATCTGTTGGGAAAATACTTTAGAAATAAATGTAAGGGGGAAATTACATTATTACTCACTGACTTTTAGCAGATGCAAATCAGGAAAATAGCCTTCCTCATTTTCTTATGCGTAACGTTCTTGTTTTTACTGTTCAAGTACAGTGTGTATTTATAGCTCACTGCTTACCATTGTGGAGATATACAGGCAATAAAGTGTACATAGCATTACTTAAAAATTTAAATTTTGTATCTATCTGTTTTTCTCCTTTTGTTTAGTGATATTGTAGGGGTAATGCATTATAGTACTGGTAGTGACTTAGTTTATGTAAATACATTGCCTAAACTAAACCAATGAAAAAAGACAAGCAGTAAAAAGCAACCCAGAAAATATAAGATTCTGTACTAAAACTAGTCCCATGTTGTTGTTTTAGACTGAAACTGGGCTTTACAATTTACAGCCTAGTAACTGAATAGCAGAAGAGCTACTCTGATATAATGGTTAAAGGTATCAAGCTAGAAACTGGAAGACTATGAATTTTAATCCTACGTTAGACCAGCTGGATGATTTCAAACATTTTTTAAAATAGTAACAAGAAAACTATATGGACTTGTCCAGGCAGTTGCTAGGTTAGAAGTCAACACTGCTTGACCACATACAGACCCATGCACGCACACACACACACACACAGAGCTGGACAGCAAATACTGTAATTAAAGAATATCTGATGTTGTTACATATTTTGGCACATTAACAGTATTAAAGAATAAAGCTAAAAATACATGAAATTCCATTTATGATAATAGGATTCTTTAAAGAACATCATTAACATCATTGAAAATATTTTTACACTGAAATGTTTAGTCCAGCAAATTTAAAATTGAATAAATTACTGTATTGTTGTATTTAGCTGCTAAAACAGAGATGTCAAACTCAAAGCCTGTGGGCCAAAACCAGCCCATGGGGTGCTTAGATCTTGCCCATGGGGCTGCCCTGGGAATAGTAAAGGACCAGCCCGTGATCCCTCTGCCAGCAAAAACAGAGCTCAGGAGGTTCTGCGTGCGTTGCATGCCGCCCTCCTGAGCTCTGTTTTCCCTGGCAGAGCACTTGGACCACCACACGAGTAACATTGAGCTGGCCACATCCACTCGGCCCCTCCAAGGTCAAACACAACCCTGATGCAGCTCTCAATGAAATCAAGTTTGACACCCCTGTGCTAAAATATTGTCTTAATCATTGATCTCTGGAAATGCTCATAAGTACCCTGCAACATATACCATTAAGGATTAATTTTCATAAAGCATTACACTTTCACAAGTTTATTGGTTTGCCCCTAAATTATAACATCTGAACTTCATATTGAATAAAAAAACAAACTTGTTACAATGCTTTAGAATGGGGACGGGGTGGGGTTCGTTCTATAGTTTTTTCTTCAAACTATACCTGGGCACAAGGGAAGATCCATTTCTCAAGACAATCATTCATCAAGGAACCACAAAAGTTCCCAAGCGCTGTCTGTCCAGAGGACAAAAGAGATTAATTTCCAGGTTTCTCCTTAATTCGGGACAGTTCTTCAGACTGCAAGGGGCCCACCAAAGCCTCAAAATCAGCTGCACATCAATTGTTGCTAATTCAAATTACCATTTCCCCCCTCCCTGAAGCCTAGATATCCTTGCCAGAAATCTCTAACCATTTCCTAGGCATTTGTTAAGTCTGATGAATATTAAATGAGCATTGTTAGGCTAATAGTGATTTCTGGTGGAAAGATGTTTAGGTCTTTTTGCTCCCCTTTTAGCTTGTGATTGTTTTGTATAGTCTATAGATATTATTTATGTCCATGTGTCTATTGATGGCTAATTTGTCAGAGTGCCAGCCTTTTAGAAATGGGTCTAGGACAACTCACCACAGCCAACTCACTTCAAGATAATTGCAGGATAACACAATTGCCACAGGAGAATCGCTGCAGGAGAAGAGTTACACTAATATCAAAGAAATGATGAAATAGAAACATTAAAGAAAGGATGTCAAAGGAGTGACAAAATGACATGTGAATGACAAAGACCTGGTGCCCTTTTTTGTGGCAAAAACTTATAAAACAGGGTCTTATTTTCAGGGAAACATGGGTAGCCACTAGAATAAAGTAAACTCCACACCTTACTAGCACTGATGAAGTTACCTAGTTTGGTTAATGAAATGTCTGCAAGAAAACAACCAACCTCAGAGGATACCAAAGATCCCTCATTTTAACCCTCGGCTACAAATATTTGCCTTTAAATTCTAAGCTATTGTATAAATTGAAGCCATATAGGTAATTCTACACTCTCTCTCTCTCTCTCTCTCTCTCTCTCTCTGTGTGTGTGTGTGTGTGTGTGTATATATAGTTTAGTATGAAATGAGAACTAAATCCTGCATTCAGCAATAGCTGTTAATAGGCATATAAATAATCCTCACTAATGCTACAATTGGTACCAGTAATTTAATCATAAAATTGCTAAATGAAACTGCTACTGTACTTACAATCTTACTTCAGCTTTCCTTTGTTTTAGAGATCTGTAAAAGTAATAAATGTAGGGATTGGATATAAAATTACTTCGTCATCTCGTAACTGAACAGTTACTAAATGAGGCAGTCACTAAGTAAGAACTACCTGCACGTTTTGGAACTCTCAAAGGAAATAAGTGTTGTGAAAAATGAAATATGAAAGATAATTTCATGGTTAAAAAGCCTGTCCACCATTTTGTCCATACTTTAAAGCTGTATTGGATTTTTCCAATATTTCTTCCAACAGTCCAAATGGCTCATACTAAATCTCAGTCTCCCACTAATCTTCCCATTGAACTATCTCCCTTCTTCTCTTCGTTCCGCTTCTTCCTTTGAATCAAGGCTATAAATCAAGGTGTGTGTGTTCACATAATGATGAAGATGCTCATCTCCGGCTCAGAAGGTTAAGGCTGTTGTTTGCTTCCTAGGGCGTAAAGAAAAAAATATCTGTCTTCCAGCTATACTTCCGGTGCTATCAGAAGCAAGGACCAAGGGCAGAGCTGGCGTCGTGACGGTACGATGCACGATCTTGTTGCTCCAAGATTGCCGTTGATATCCCCGCTGTTGGATGGTCCCACTGGATCTAAACCGTCCTGTAGAGACGGTGATTGATAAGGGCACATCCTGCTGATCCCAGGGACACCACAAAGTCCCTGGTCGATCCATGAGAAGCCCTTTTTGCCGGCGGTGGAGAGGCAGCCTTTCAAGCTGCTGAAGCTGGGACAGCTCCGGAATGAAAGAGAACGGAAGAAAGTATGTCAGTTTGGTGAGATGAATTTTTATTTATTGTTTTTTTTGGAGAGAACACCCTAAAAGACTTAAAGTTAATTTAAAAGTGAAAAGAGTTCAAGCGGCGAGATTAAGCTAGTTAAACTGAAGGGTTTTTTTTCCCCTTCTTATTGGAACTTGGAATTTGGCAAACTTCTCAATTTTAAACTGGATAGTCTTTTTTTAATTTTTAATTTTTTTAACAAACTTTTTGAAAGTCTGTTTTGATTTAGACTCTTCTTTCTGATTTAGATTTATCTTTTTTTCCTTTTAAAAAATTTTTTACTTTTTTTTTCTGTTCCTGGCTTTTGATTTATGAGGCGAAGTGAAAGTGAAGGAAAATAAGTAGCACTGCCATCTAGAGGCTTGGATAGATTGTTTTCTTTCTTACTTGTTTGTGTATTGGTGTTATGTTAGGAATATAAGTCACCTAACAGGTATTTGGGTTAGAAATATATAAGCCAGGATAGACATTTTAGTACTATATCTTTAAGGGAATGCAAGAGCATGCAATTGGGTGTGGTTTCTCAAACAGCCATCAGATGGAGCCAGAAACCTTGATTGTTTAGTCTGAGTCTCAGAAGAGAGTGTGTCTGAGTGTATCTCTGTTTCCTTCTGTTGGAAAGTATTGCAGTTGCTACATATCTTCTAATTGACTGATATTACTGGATTTAATGTAAGTCTGATACTGAACTGTTTTTGACACTGGAATTTGATATTTGGATTATCCCTGATTGAAAACTGACTGATTTAACTTGTGAATGACTTTGGACTGCCTATTTTGGACTTTGCTTAAACCTTTCTGGAGGTAAAAAGCTACATTTACTGTACAGTGTATCTGTGTGCTCTGTGTGTATTATTCCAACACTACTCTCTATACGTCTCCCTGTATGCGCTCATTTTCCTAACAGGGAATTACCTCAACATTGGTTATGGGCCCAGGCCATACCAGGCTCAGATAACTGAAAGGTGGTCTGAATGCACAGTACTGTATACAGACAGTTGTTTACTGTTTAATTGTGGTTTACTATCCTGGTAAAGATGGCACAAGTCACTTCAACAAGTCTATCACTGATAACTCGGTTGGATGGAACAAACTATGTTTCCTGGTCTATGAAATGCAGTCTACTTCTGTGTAGAGAAGGTTTATGCAATTTAGTTCAAGAGTCACCAGATGTAAATGCTTGGGACCCAGCAAATGAGGATGATGCCAAGAAGCTTGCTGACTTTAAACAAAACAACGAACAAGCTCTTTGTATAATTGGACTAACACTGAATGACCAGCAGCTAGTCCATATTTGTGGAAAAGAGTTTGTTGCTAGGTGTTGGGAGAATTTGAAGAGAATTTATGTTCGTGACAGCGTAGGTGCACACATACATCTTACACGTAAACTGTTTAGAGCACATCTTCTGAAAGGTAGAGATATGTTAGCTCATTTAAACTTCAT